TGCTAATAATTTTGAAAGCGTATGCTGTCCAGGATTAGCTGCCTTTTGAGGTAAACATTTAGTAATTCTGCGGCATCAGCATGATTTTTTACTTTTGTTCGAACTGTCATTTGTTTCATTGTTATCAGAATGTTTATAAAAGAGTCCTCTTGCCCTTCTTTAATTGAGTACTCAGTAGCAAAATATAATTTATTCGTTAAGCAATCCAGTTTATTTCCTTAATGAAAGGAAATATATTATTTTAATGTACTATTATAAATATGTGAAACTTCTCCCGGCTCTGACTTTATAGCTTTGGACATAATTATTGTATAGTCAGTCAGTTTAGACTACCGTTTTTCTTAGGGGTCGTGGAGACAGACGCGTCTGACAGAGTCTCTGGTATCAGACTGGAGTCAGATTTTCAGGGAAGAAACCAGTCATTTTGGAAGACCATCAGTTTGGTCCGAGTTATAAAAAATGTCAGTCAGTATGTCCTGAAGGACATATCCGGACGCTTTCTTACCAGGAGGAGGTTATACGTCGGCGATGGCGAAAGCACTCTGAGTAATTCCTTAACCCTGATCAGCCGCACGGAGACTCCGTAGTCTGAGTGTCCTGAAGGACATAGTCGCCCGTGATCTTATTAAGGTAAGGGATATAGTTCTGTTGGCGATATCGAGAATACTCTGACGAATTCCTCACCCTTGTTCCACTGCAGGGAGACTCGTCTGAAGAGCAGCAGGCAGATGATAATTATTGCATATGTTCTCATTTTTCCTTCAGTGTCTAGCTATAAATTCATTATCGTGTTTTTAGGATGCAAGTACGATCTGTCAGTGTGTCGGAAGGACGAAATCTGCTTCAACGGTATAATCTTATTATTATATTATACTTGAATCTGAGTTGCACTGTTTTAATTATTGCATATGTTAAATTCTTAAATACCCAGTGGTGAGTTTCTTTAAGTATTTCTACTTTCTCTTAATTATTTTATGTCATTAATTCAATGTCGTCAGGATCCTTTTTCAGAGATCTGACCTGATCTGTGGTTCAAGGTATCGTTAGATTATGGACATGAGCCTTCGCATGAACAGAATGTCTCTGGTTTGTGATGTCCACTATATCAGCTGCTTTTCAACAACTTTGATCTAAAGCTACTGCATCGTAGAAGGAAATATTCCTCTCCAAAAGCACGTCCGTCCCTACCTTGTTCCTCCGCGTCGCATGCTGGCATCCTGGCGGACGTCTGCCGTATTTCGATGAGAGTCTCGTATGTTCAAGGTGGAGGTGGTCTGATGAAAAGAGCAGTTCGGCCGTTATCGAGTTGATTATTTACATCTTTTAAATGTTGCGCTGTAGTCGCTTAAACGTTAAGAAGTAAAAGATCTGCACACTCGTTTGCCAAGTGCTATGCATTTTTTACAACTGAATGCACCATCGTTAATTCCATAAGTTAGGTTTTAGACGAGGTTGAATAATATTTCGAGCATTTCAGGATTGAAGACACGGCAAAATGAAGATGGCTTACTTTCCTCTTTACCATGTCCTTAAGAATGTAGTCTTATTTAGCAGCAATATCATTACGGAACTTTACAGTTTACTCTTGCTTTGGAATAGACACAGTGGACACGCGCTAAGTTAAAGATTAAGTTATTACACTTTCATCACAAATTTATTCTAACGTTGCTATCTCAAGGCCGGACGGCATAAATCTAGATTACTCAGCTAGCCTTAGATAATCGTTGTAAAGCAGCAACAACATCTTGATGTTTGTGATCGTTTCTCGATCCGCTGCTACTTTAGACGGTGCGTTTGGAATATGCTACGGCGAGCCGGGACAGGCAATAGATATGTACCTTTTGATACCGGAAGAAGAAGAACTAGTTCGTTTGGAGATGGTCAGGTTGAAGAACTATGGTGCGTCATGGAAAGACCCGTCGGTGCAGTGTGTCCTTAGGAATTTCTATTTCACCAAGAAATACTTCATTCCTTATGATGTAACGTTGTGCCGAGGTTCGGATCCGGCCGAAGTTATCAGGTTGCTCCAGGTGAAGTGCTGCCTCTAATTAATAGTTTGTGCATTCTGTTAAGTGACAAAATTGTCGTGAACTGATAAATTGTAACTCTCTTCCATAGCGTATCTCTTTTCTTCGTCATCTCCTACGTCTTGATTTTCTTTTTAGTCATCTCCCTTTCCTCCTTAATCTATTTCTTGTTCCTTTTAGTCATTTTCAACATTTTAACATGTCACGAGTTAGCTGACCCCAGATTTACCTGGGTTTGATTTATCGACATTTTATAAATTAAGCTTGGCATAAGGATTGGTTTCTGGTCAAGCGAGAAATGGAACAGGGCAGCATGCAGTGTGAAAGTTGTGGCATGAAACTCGCGGATGTCGTAACTTTGCTGCATCAGATTAATGAATAAGTCAGATGTTTTGATGGCAGACAACCTGGGGAAACATCAGCTTCGAGGAGCGCGTAACGAACAACTTAAATTTAAATTTCCTAAGCTAAAATAAATCGGAGGAATGAATCGAATGATTCAAAATTCCTCGAAGCTGAACTAGAGCCAGAAGCCAGAAATGATACAGTAAATCTGCTAATCTTTACGTTCTTTCTTTAAGTAAGATCGTAAGCCTTGTTTTCAGTCGCAGAATGGAAGTTCGATTTAATGACTCGTTTTATACTTGTCGGTTCCTTAGGTTTACATGGCAAATCACACTGCTCCCAGTGTTTTAGTGGTCTGAAAGACGTTTTAGGCAGACTATGACTTGATGGTATTATAGTACATGAATGTAAATCTTGCATCACTGTGTTGGATCGAAGAAAATTGGTGGTGGAACTCGGTAGAGCGAGCAGTATGCTACTTCTGCAGCTGATCTCAGAAGCTGCCG